ATACAGTAGGACACTAAATATCAAATGCTGAGTGTTCATGTACCTTAGTTTTGCAGACAGAAGCATTGCATGGCTTTCTGATTTCAGACCCAAATCCAGAGAGGACACAGTGAAATCCAATCGAGTCCAGCCCTTTATTTACTTGCACCTAATAGACAGAATCTTGCCAAACTAAAGCTATGATTTTTTTTAAAAAAAACTTCTAAATACATCCTGAGGGATTTTCATGTGTGGCTACTGTGATCCTCTTCCTCCCTACCCCATTCAGTGCAGTCTCTCTCTCTCCCTCCCTCTCTCTCTTTCTCTCCCTCTCCCTCCCTATCTTTCTCTCCCTCTCTCTTTCCTCTCTCTTTCCTCTCTCTTTCTCTCCCTCTCTTTCTCCCTCTCTCTCCTCTCCCTCTTTCTCTCCCTCTCTTTCCTCTCCCTCTTTCTCTCTGTTTCCTCTCCCCCCTCTATTTCTTTCTCTCTCTCTCTTTCTCTCTCTCTCCTCTCCCTCTCTCTCTCTCGTAAAGCTCCATGTTGCCCAAGCTATGTTTCAAATTTGTCCAGTTGTCATTGGATTGAGAGCACCTGCCTTTTCAGAAGAGTAGGAAGAGTTTGTAGATTATTCCACCTTGTTCAGAGATGGGCGGCCTATGAATGGGCCACCTACCTGATCCTATAGTTGAGTTTACCCTTCCTTAGGTAGCCATTCTTCACCCTGTGCCTGGCACAAAAGGGATCCCCAGCTTTGGCTTGGTCTTATATTACACACTCTCTTCCTTCTCTCTCCTCCAAACTGACCTGGATCGCGTGTCGCATCATAGACTAAGCCATAGTTCATTTAATTCATCTTTTGTAGAATAAATATTGGCTGGGTCAAAATCAAGGGGACCACACCCATAGTCTAAGGCAGTGGTGGCGAACCTACGGCATGCGTGCCAGAGGCAGCACTCGGAGCCCTCTCTGTGGGCACACGTGCCATTGCCCCAGCCTCCCTCCCCCCACAACCCCCTCACCAGCAGCCCCCCTGGAGGAGTCGCCCCTGACCGTGGCCCACGTGGAGCAGCGCAGCCAAGGACATGGCAGCCAGGCAGTGTAGACAAGACTCTGCCCTCACGCCCCATCGCGCACAGTTGATGCTGCGGGGCGCAGGCAGAGGTGCGGCTGCCATGGCGCTGCTGGGCTGCCTGGGCGATCTGTGGCGGGCCCTGGAGGCGGTGAGTGGCCCTGCGGGCAGGCGGGGTGGGGGACAGTGTGGGGGCGGAGCAGGGGCAGGGCAGGGGGTGGAGCGGGGGCGGGGCCAGTTTTTGGGCACTCGGTCTCTAAAAGGTTCGCCATCACTGGTCTAAGGCAACACATGAACCCAGTCCCTGAATGTCTGCTAAAGAGATAATTTCTACTACCAAAATGTTGTGCTTATTATTTTTCTATATTTTGACTCTTCCAGGGATGAAGAGAGCAACAGTAGCACTGAGACAGATTCTACAGAATTAGCCAGCATTGTCTGACCTTACCTTGTCTTGGTTTACCCCCTGGGATCCTCAAAACATGGTGCCACCATGACATCTACTGTGAAAGAGGGATGCTCACTTGCTTCCATGGAAGAGCACTTGTGATGACTTAAAGACTGCTCTGGGAATCAAATATTGATCGACGTTGTGCCTTAAATGGGACCCATGGATCACCAATTGTCAAACATACTTTCGGTACTCCAGAAAGATACCTCTAACGAGAACAATCATCATCTCAGTGTGTCTTTTACGAGAATCAGTTTGAAAAACTCTGTTGCGTTATGATGTGTTTTAACCATATGCTATTTATCATTAAGTCATCCACTGAATGGTGCAAATCTCTAAAGTACTGTTAAGTGTATTTGGTATGTTTTTTCCTGTTCAATATTGCATTATATATTATATTATCATGGACCCAGATGGTGCTTTTTTGGTGTATATTACACCGGTGGCTTGACCTTGTCAAAACATGAACTAGTACTGTTTTTTTTCTGTAAATAAGATTAATGAACCATCCTGTGATGTTCCTGTTTATATATATGTATAAATAAATATATATATATATGTATATGTATATATAAAGAGCCTAATTAAAATAACTTAATGCTGTACATATAAAAATGTCAATGTTTTCCTATTTGTATATTGTGTACAGAAAGAAAACTGGATTTGTCAATAATTTACATTAAAATGGAAAAATGTCACCAGCGCGGCTGTTTTTCTTTAATATTTCTTAAAATGTAAGTGAAGTATAACAAACAAGATAACACATCAATAATAAAAAAACTACATATGTTATCCTGATTAAGATAAACTAAACTAAAAGGGAGAAGCAAAAGAGCTCAGAAAAAATAGTAAAAAAATAAGATACATGTGATATGGCTATAAACTTAACTGGATCCTCAAACTGGTCATTGAATCTACAACAGGGGTCCCCAACCATGGCCGGCTGGGGAATTCTGGGAATTGAAGTCCACAGGTCTTAAAGTTGCCAAGGTTGGGGACCCCTGATCTACAACATAGGGAACTATTTTGCTACATCCTCTTATTTGAGGAATATTACATTTGTCATTAAGCATTGTTGTGATTTCAGCTCTTTAAAAAAGGGCACAAAATAATATAAATGTAAGACTTTCAATTCAATTCAGTTTACTGTGGTCATAGACCAATACCATTCGTGAAACAGCCTACCTAACATCTGTAAGTGAGATCCAGGATACAACCTATATTAAAATTATAATGTAAACACTAAAGTTATATTAAATATAACACCTAAAATTACAGCAAAATAATATTACTAGTAACATTAGTATCTAATATATAGCTATTTAAAACTATGAGTATGTTGGAGAAAAGCAGGCAGAGCTTGGGGGGTGGAATTAAAGGCGTCGTCAGTTTAGAGTCCTTGCGTGGCCAAAGAGATCCAAGTCCAGCCTCTCCTGAACTCCACTGATCTTTCTCTGGCACCAATTTAGTGTTGAACTCTTGTTTGTAGGCTTGAATTAATGTTCTGTGCTGCAGCCTTATAAATGGCCCTGATTTTCTGCACCTGACAAAGTACCAACAAACTAATAATATCTGAAATTTAAATGAATTACAGTTACAAAGATTGCATTGCGGTATATTGGCCCCTCAGGATTCAACGAATCTTCCATGCTGCTGCACAAAACCTAACTATGTGCACTATAATAAGAGAGACTTTATGAGCAGCATCTGGATATAGTCTAAATCTGGGCAACCAGAATATCTACTAAACAGAGGTAGTAGGAATGGGTTTTGATGTCTGTGTAAAAAGAACAACAAAGAATCTATTCTGTAGTTACCATCTCTCCGGAATCACAGTGGCAAAGCCTTTCTTCCAATGGTACTTTTTAATATAACAGAATAACAGAGTTGGAAGGGATCTTGGAGGTCTTCTAGTCCAACCCCCTGCTCAAGCAGGAAACCCTACACATCACACACAAAAAGATTCAAGCCTGTAATTGCTACTAAAGGTGCTTCAAAAAAGTACTCAGTGAAGGGTCTGAATACTTATGCCAATGTGATATTTCATTTTTTTTCTTCTTTTTAATAAATTTACAGACATTTCTAAAATTCTGTTTTCACTTTGTCCTTATGGGGTATTGGGCGTAGATTAACGAGGGGGAAAAATGAATTTTAACAACTGTAGAATCAGGCTGCAGCATAACAAAATTGACAAAAGCGAAGGGGGTCTGAATACTTTTTGAACGCATTGTAGACCATTTCAGACAAATGGCTGTCCAGTCTCTTCTTAAAAACCTCCAGGGATGGAGCACCCACAACTTCCGAAGGCAAGCCGTTCCACTGATTAATTGTTCTGTCAGGAAATTTCTCCTTAGTTCTAGGTTGGATCTGTCCTTGATTAGTTTCCATCCATTGCTTTTGATTCAGGTGCTTTGGAGAATAGCTTGACTCCCTCTTCTTTGGGGCAGCCCCTGAGATATTGGAACACTGCTATCATGTCCCCCCTCGTCCTTCTTTTCATTAAACTAAGCATACCCAATTCCTGCAACCGCTCTTCATATGTTTTAGCCTCCAGTCCTCTAATCTTTGTTTCTCTTCTCTGCATAGCATCAGAAAAGAGAGAAAGTTTTCCAATGACAGGGTGTTTCTGCTGTGCAAGTAGCTGGCAGCAGTGAGAATATATCAGTTGTGTACTGGTGACAAGGAAGCTACGGAGCACTTTTGTGCCAGGTGTGCAAAACAATCTGTCAGGGAATGTTTCAGTCTCCAAACAAAATGTTCTGAGCTGTCTGGAAGAGGTCCAGCCTTATAATGGACTGTTTTTCTGGGTATTGAAAAACAAAGGTGAACTTAGTCTAGTGGTTGAAGGCACCAGTCTAGAACCCAGGAGAGTCCAGCTTTAGGAATGAAAGCCGGCTGGGTGTCTTTGGGCCAATCACCAGGAGGTAATAATAATAATAATAATAATAATAATAATAATAATAATAATAATAATAATAATAATAATAATAATAATAATAAAGTTGGAAGAGACCTTGGAGGTCATCTAGTCCAACCCCCTGCTCAGGCAGGAAACCCTATACCATTTCAGACAAATGGCTGTCCAGTCTCTTCTTAAAAACTTCCAGTGTTGGAGCATTCACCGCTTCTGGAGGCAGGTTGTTCCACTGGTTGATTGTTCTAACTGTCAGGAAGTTTCTCCTTAGTTCTAGGTAGCTTCTCTCCTTGATTAGTTTCCATCCATTGCTTCCTGTCCTGCCTTCAGGCGCCTTGGAGAAGAGCTTGACTCCCTCTTCTTTGGGGCAGCCCCTGAGATATTGGAACTCTGCTATCATGTCCCCCCTCATCCTTCTCTTCGTTAAACTAGACATGCCCAATTCCAGCAGCCCTTCCTTATATGCTTTAGCCTCCAGTCCCCTGATCATCTTTGTTGCTCTTCTCTGTACTCTTTCTAGAGCAGTGGTTCTCAACCTTTTTAATGCCGCGACCCCCGACTGGTCGTAAGTCGAGGACTAAATCGGTCGTAAGTCGAGGACTACCCAACCGGTTGTAAGTCGAGGACTTTCCCTGCCCGGGAGTGCCACACATGCGTGGTTCCGCCCCCTGCGCCGGCCGAGGTGTAGCTGGCAAGCGGCAGAGACGGAGCAGGCCGACCACCAGCTGGCCCAACCCAAGGGAGGTAAGGCACCCGTCGGAAAAGGGGAAAAAATGGCAGACAAAAAAAATGGCGGACAAAAAAAATGGCGGACAGCCTTGCTTGGCGACCCCTGTGAAATGGTCGATCGACCCCAAATGGGGTCCCAACCCATAGGTTGAGAACCGCTGTTCTAGAGGCTCAACATCTTTTTTACATTGTGGTGACCAAAACTGGATGCAGTATTCCAAGTGTGGCCTTACCAAGGCCTTGTAAAGTGGTATTAACACTTCACGTGATCTTGATTCTATCCCTCTGTTAATGCAGCCCAGCACTGTGTTGGCTTTTTTGGCAGCTGCAGCACACTGCTGGCTCATATTTAGGTGATTGTCCACTAGGACTCTGAGATCCCTCTCACAGTTACTACTGTTGAGCAAGTTACCCCCTATACTATACCTGTACATTTGGTTTTTCTTGCCTAAATGTAGACCCTTACTTTTTTCACTTTTTTGTACCTTGCCTTGGGCACAAAAGCCAATTGGTGACTTTAGGCCAATCATTCCTCTCGGTGCAGTTCACCTCGCAAGGTGGTGGTTATGGGGAAAACAGGAGGAGGAAGTAGTATTAAGTATTATGGGTATTAGGGAGCATGTTCATCGCCTAGAGTTAGTTATTAAAAGAATAACAGCAGGATATAAATGGATGAACTAACCAGATAAGTGATTTTAGCAGCTCCAGAAAGATATTTTTTTTTTTTGAAAACTGTGTAAAAGGTCAACCAAACAGCAGAACCATTTAAGACAGGCAGCCCTTCCTTCTCCCAGCTTTGCATATATTCTGATGAGGTCACAGTTATCTGAAATTAATCAGGAAAAAGTTATGGGTTCATAAAAGGTAAGTCTGGGAGGAAATTGACTCAACCTACAGCAGCAATGAAAAGGGCAAATTCCATATTGGAGTCATTTGTTAATGGAGCAAAAATAATATTGCAACGTTGACTCTAGGGGACAATTCTGCTTGCCACGTTGGAAAAAATATAATAGAGCTGGGAAAAGTGCAAAAGACACACAGCCACGATGGCCGGAGGCCTAGAATGCCTTCCATCTTTAAAGAACAGAAAATACCTGGGGGAGAATGTGATTAAGGTGTGCACCAGTGTGCATCAGTCTTAAAGTGCACTTGACAACTTTAAGACTGATGGACTTCAACTCCCAGAATTCCCCAGCCAGCATAGATCACCCTAAATGTCACTCAGTTCAGCAGCCTTTTCAAGCAATCTGTGATTTGGAGCACAGGAACCATATTTCTTTTTTTAAAAAAATAGCCCACATTTTATACAAAAACACATAACATTAACTTTCTGTGAGTTCACATGAATGAACATGAGAACAGAAGATTCAGGCCATTTCAATTTAAAAAAATAATAATACTGGGATTCCTTGGATGCTGTTTTAAGTGATGTTGCTGGGTGGCTGATCAAGGTGTTCAGAGTTTGCTTTCTTGATCTTTCATAAGACCTCTAATTTTGGCTGGAAGTAAATATCTTGCTTTGCAGATGCTGAAAAAAGGACTCTGAAGTCAAGAGTTCTTCCTTCTTTTGCAACAACTTTAGCATTGTTCTGGCACCCATTCAACGCACTTTGCAAGCCAAAAGTTCAAGAATGAGACATGAGCCTTCACAGAGCATCCTTCTCGGACGTGGATGGGAAGATTGCACAAAGACTGACTCATGAGCTGTATGTCAACTGCAAAGAGTCAAGGAGCCAGGAGGAGGTGGTGGGCTAAAAATAACAAAAGGGATTATCCCTCGGATAGAAATGCTTTTTCTGTCCTCCCAACAAAACAGTCTGAAAAGCAGTTGGTGATCTGGAGCCAAAGGCAAGCGTATGTGAATGAAGAAGTGAAGTACATCTGGATTGTAAAAGTGATGGGAGATGGCGGAGATGGCAAAATTGGCTGTTTTAATCGAAGGGAAGAATTTATCTAGTTTTGTTTCCCTATGGAAACTGTTTCTGGACTTGTACTTGAGCCTGGGAAAAAAATGAAACTGGTTTT